TCTAGTCAATATATGCTTCAACAACTGATATATTAATACCAAATTCTTATAAGACAATGCTTCAAATATACTCTTTAAAGACTAAATGTTGTTATTAGAAAATTGTAGCTGATGATTATTGCAGGATTACAGAATACTAGAAGAGAATGAGCTACCAAAACATACATCTTGAGTTTTACTCCCTTTAAAGTTTATGATTTTTATAGTAAATAATCTACAAGGTCATTGCATTTTCCTGAAAATTCTGGTGTACATGAAGCAAAGCTCTGTCACAATGTTCCAATATATAACTCTTCAGCATTTCTTCTAGATCACTTTGCTGTATATAAAACTAACTATATAAAACTAACATGCGTTTGCATGTTAGTACAGATATATTGTACTAGTACAATATAATATATTGCATGTGTATATTTAATGTAGCATGTAAATATATTTGAATATACTTATTTCTATAAACATAGACAAAATGTCAATTTATACATAAATGCATATATGTATAGGCATATAATACACATAAATGCATACATATAATTACTACATCTTTCAAGTATAACATGCCTTTTATTTGAAAGACAGAGGGAGACAGACAAACAAATTGAGAGAGAGAGAGAGAGAGAGAGAGAGCGAGAGATTCCATTTGTGGGATCAGTCCCCAAATACCCACAATGGCCGAGGTTGGACTAGGGTAAAACCTAGAGCTGGGAACACAATGTAGGTATTATTTGTGGGTGGCAGAAACTCAAAGAGTTGAGCCATCACTGCTACCTCTCAGAGCTACATGAACAGGAAGCTAGAGTCAGGAGCTGGAGCTAGGAAATGAATGCAAATGGTCCAAGTAGGACATGGGAATCTTAATCACTACGTTAAATGCTCTCTCCTTCTCTGAAGCTTTTTAAGCTTTTCTCTCAATGTTATGAACTATTATTGTTTTTGGAATTTTTAAGGTTGTTTTTCCAATGAGTTTCCAACTTCAGTGATAATTTACCAAAATCAACTACTGCTTTCAAATGTGTCTTACTAGCAATTACAAATAACATTAAAATGTGATTTATTTTGTCGTTAACTTACTTCTGCTTTGGTAGCAATGAAAAACCAATCCTTGGGCTAAGAAACCATTTACAATCATTATGATAGGTTCATAGTACAATAGAAGTTAGTTTGGTTAATAAATAAGTAGAATATGCTCATTCTGCTCATAAAACTTGTAAAAATTAAGAGTTACGGCCGGTGCCGCGGCTCAATAGGCTAATCCTCCACCTTGCGGCGCCAGCACACCGGGTTCTAGTCCCGGTTGGGGCGCTGGATTCTTTCCCAGTGGCCCCTCTTCCAGGCCAGCTCTCTGCTGTGGCCCGGAAGGCAGTGGAGGATGGCTCAAGTGCTTGGGCCCTGCACCCATGGGAGACCAGGAGAAGCACCTGGCTCCTGCCTTCGGATCATCGCCGGGTGCCGGCCGCAGCACGCCAGCCATGGCAGCCATTGGAGGGTGAACCAACGGCAAAAGGAAGACCTTTCTCTCTGTCTCTCTCTCTCACTATCCACTCTGCCTGTCCAAAAAAAAAAAAAAAAAAAAAAAAAAATTAAGAGTTAAAAGTAATTGTAGGGACTGGTGCTGCGGCATATTGGGTAAAGGCACTGCCTGCAGTATCAGCATCCCATATGGGTGCCGGTTCAAGTTCCAGCTGCTCCACTTCCAATCCAGCTCTATGCTATGGCCTGGGAAAGCAGCAGAAGATGCTCAAGTCCTTGGGCCCCTGTACCCATGTGGGAGATCCAGAAAAAGCTCCTGGCTTCTGGCTTTGGATAGACTCAGCTCCAGCTGTTGAGGCCATCTGGGGAGTCTTCCATCCATCAGACGGAAGACCTCTCTTTCTCTGCCTCTGGCTCTTTGTAGCTCTGCCTTTCTTTAAAAAAAAAAAAAAAAAAAAAAAAAACAAAAAAAAAAACCTTTTATTTAATGAATATAAATTTCCAAAGTACAGAATATGGATTACAATGGCTTCCCCCCCATAACGTCCCTCCCACCCGCAACCCTCCCCTTTCCTACTCCCTCTCCCCTTCCATTCACATCAAGATCATTTCATTCTCTTTATATACAGAAGATCAGTTTAGCATACATGAAGTAAAGATTTCAACAGTTTGCTCCCACACAGAAACATAAAGTGACTGCCTTTCAAATAAATAAATAAATCTTTAAAAAAATTTGTGAGGGAATTACAAGTGTCTAGATACACTCTTTAATGTATATTTATAAATTTAATTCAAGACTAATTGTAGCCTTTGATGATATTAACCAAAGTACAAGGAAAACTCATTTGAGTATTGAAGCAATTAGCTGCTCTATAATCTATGATATTTGTTTTATTTCAAAAAGTCATTTAAATATAGTGAATTTTTGAAATTATATGGATATTTGTCTGAATAAATTCTTGGTAAAAATACAACAAATTCATTACAGTGTAAAGTAGTGCGAACTTGCCTTAAAAGCATTACTCTTAAGACCTTTTATTTTAAAATTAAAGAAAACTAATATTTGAATGCATTGACATATATCTACATAAAATTAGTCACTTAAGATTGATGTTTCCTTTAAAATATTAATTAATTATTATTATATACAGGAGTACAGCTTAATAGATTTTGTGAGAGATTTTGAACTAATAGGAAATAATTTAGAGAACATAAAAGATAGCAACTTGAAATATATAATAGTTATTAATTGTTATTTATTCTTCTCACTGTAGAATGAGTTCAAATAAAGTAAATACTTGGTAAATTAAAATCACTATTAATGTGATAACAGTTATGCCTCTGAAAAACATACAAGCTATTGTCCCTGTATAATTCTGTATCCTGCATGTTTTGGGTTTTCATCTGCTTGAATGAACCAATATGTACCTAATAAAATTTCAAGCCATATTTATTTTGTAAGTATTGATTTAATGTATTTTTATGCTTACAAGTACCTAATAAAAATAAGCCATTGCTATTAAATTAAAGATCAATTATAATTTTAAAAGAAAATCTGAACTCTAACAAAAGACTTTGAGAACATAAAGAATATTATTTATACTTTAAACAATGGTGAATCATCTAAAATATTATTATAATAAAGTAGGGTATACTTTATAACGTTTGTTACAATTACCTTTTGTTTTTACTTGCAGTGATACAAACTCACAAGCCGGTATAAATGCTCCTAAATAAAGAATATAGGTAAAAATGATGTGTTAAATAGAAAATTTTGTGTTTTTCACTTGCATCATTCATTAACTACACATGTAGCAATATAATAGGATTTGAATTTTGCCATGGAACGTACATTTCTTATATTCATGTGTGACTATACAAGCTACTTAAGCAGCACACCAGTACTTTCTTAAAAAGAAATTTAAAATGTACAGAATGTTCATGGTTGGATGAACCTTGAAATTTATCCAAAAGTTTAAGGAATTTATTCACTGGAAGACAATTATAAAAAGAAAACTCGTTGACATTTGCCAAAACTCCACAAATTCTTATTGCTTTGAAGTTCAATTTAGTCTGTGAAGTTGACCATACCATATATCAAGTGTTTAATTCATTTTCAGTTTTGTGAATTTTAGGGTGATTTCATGAAAATATTTTACATTTTCAAATAAGGTTAGCAACTTTTCCAAGAGAAAAAATAAGAGAACTTGTCAATGAACACAACTTATCAATCCATTATTGTGCGTTCTACATCAAATTAACTGAGTAGGAATTGACTATATGCTATTAACAAGGGGAAAAGTAAAAGAAACCACAACACTGCTCTTCAAGAAGCTACCATTTACTGAGATTAGATGCACTGTTGCACACAATTCTGCCACGAGCAGCCCTATAAATATTTTCAAAAGCTATAATATTCATTAGTAATTTCAAGTAAGAATTAGGAAAAGGAATAAAATGCTTCATGATTCCACTAGAAGTTAGTCTCTATTTACATTTAAAAAGAATGTATTCACTTGATAAGACAAATTCCAAGGCAAGAAAAATCACAAAATTATTTCCCATGTCCTTCCTCCATTTTTCCTCCTTCTGTTCAAATGTAATTATTTTTAAAATTTGTGTTTTTAATTCTAGCATTTACGTATATATGCTAATATACGTATTTCTATGTGGTGACATATGTCATTTCAACTTGTGCAAAATCAAATATTCTACATGAATAGTTTTATAGCTTTTCACTTAATGGTGAATTAAAAATTATTCTACTTCAAACATAATTTCAGTTTTATTAAGTCATCATATTTGTACCTTTTTCAGTTTTGCTCTTGTAAACTTCTTTTAATGTGTATACTGGCTAAATCTCCCTAAATATTCTGCTGGTGCGAATGTCATTATCAGTTATGTCTTGTTATACAAGACAGAAACTCAATTAAATTGATTAAAGCAGAAGGAGAATTTACTGACTAATATGTTTATCTTGTAAATATTTCTGATTGTTGGCATAGCTTCATTACATAATTAAATGTGTCATCAATTAAGAAACAAGATGTTTCATGTAATAATGTGATATTAGCTGAAATTTTGTGACACACTTCTTTAGGTATTTCCTATTGGGGGATTTCCAGATAAGCCAGGCAGGAAAACTGCAGAAAAGATTCTTGCTGTCCTTATTTAAATTTCCAGCGTATTGTTAAGCATATGTCTAAGGTCATAAGACTAGATTTAGCTTGCATGACTGCTCCTATGAGAAGCTTTCAGGTAGGTTAAGAGACAGGTAAATCCAAAGGGGAATATCCAGCTTCTTCAACAAGGAAAAAGATAAAAGGAATGTCTACATATATCTATTAAAACAGTTACATGTTCATTTCCAGTGTTATTGTTTATCATGAAAAAGTGTTTTGCTTTAAAAAACTATGTCTTTAATTCATGTCTAATAATTAAACCACGAATCCATCTGTCTTTTAGTTGCATTTTTTTGGTATACTCATTGTAATTGGTGAATAAATATTTCCATCTTCAAATTTCTACAGAATGAGGGAAGGCTCCATTTCACTCACCAAGATGGAAAACGATGAGAGGAACAACTCTGTAAGTTAGGATTAATTTCTCTACTTTTTAATATTGGTAGAAAAATAATGAGTATGTTCTGCATAGTTCTACCCTCAGTTCTTCTGTGGTGCCAAGACTTTGTATGCTTGGGTCCTATATTTTCCATATGACAAACTTACTGAATTTAGCTGAGTAGAGTTTTCTTAACTGCAATTTAGGGGAAAGGTAATGGAAACCCATTGGACTTCAAATCATGCTGCATCATCATAGCCAACCTTTACTGTAATAAAATTCATATTTGATCTCCATTTTTCCTCATGCCTGGGTTCTATTTAAGAACTTGGGATAAATTCCTGTCATCCAACATATTATTTCATTTATAAACATTGAGAAATAATCACAAATGTTAGTTTTCACGGTGAAAGGTTATTTGGAAACTTTGGGGTTTTTAGTAAGCCAAGTCCATATCTTTAGTTTACAAGGATTTTTATTGAAACAGTTCATTTCAATGGTTAAGTAGAGAAATTCACTGGATCACTTCTTAGACTGAACTTTAGTGAAAAAAACCCCAATAATATGCAGACATCAGAATAGAATTTATCTGGCCAATATTGAGAATAATTAAAAAATTACCAATATGAGTTTTTGTATTTTAACTTCTGTATACTTAATTTTATCCTTTTATTTCTTTATATTGTTATTTAAAGGAAAAAGTTATATGATTGTTGGGCTTTCATTTCAACTGGAATGTCACAATGTAAAAGAATAAATCTTATGCAAATGTAGCATATTTTAATAATACTGACATTTAACCATTTGGAGCAATTTTCTACTGGTATTTGAATTCATCATATAACACCCATGAGCCACCTCAAAACACATGGCTGGCTATATTTGATATTAAAATTAGACTAAGATGTGAGTATATTGCCTGGGAGGTATTTTAGAACCTTGAAGCTTAGTGACAAAAAATGAGCTGCCATCATTAATACTCCTCTCAGAAAGATTCACAATGGAGCTTTATGACTAGAGATAATAAAAGCAGCTTCATGTATTTTACTTAGATATTCCTGCCCAGCCTTATCTCTGGTTGACCATTGGTTCAATAATTAAGCCCAACGGGTCAAGAAAATAAGAAGATGGAGCGAGTTGGGGGAAAGAGTCCTGAAAATCACCTTCAAAGAAGGAAAATATGGGAGAAACATATTTACCCTTGCTTCCTCCACCACAGCCTTCAGGCCTGAGTCTTCCCTAAAGAGGAGTAACTCCTGAAGTAGGATTGAGGTCATAGGGAAGACTGAAGCAGCGAGCTGAGTAGGGAAGCCAACGATACATGCCACTGCTTTTCTGAAATTCCCCTGCTCTCTTCTCATCCATGTGTTATAGTCACTGAGGCATCTTCTCCTCATTTTACCATTTAAGCAACTGGTCCAGCTGCTTTCAGTTCATATAAAAGGTGATGAGAAACAAAAGTAACTACAAATAATGCTTTTCTTAAAATATCCCCAGGGATGTATAGTTGCTTCTCCTTGGAATACACTGAATAATACCAGTCAATTGAGCAAACAAAGGAATTCTGGCTTGAGATCCATGAAAAATGGTTACCAAAGGGCAGGAGACGGTGGTCTCAGACAAGCCACTTTTCAGTAAACAGTCTGATGTATTGTTTGGGAGCATATTCCTATCTCTTGGTTCCAAAGAGCTTAGATACAATTTTTATTTGTTTTTTAAATATTTACATTAAGATGGATTTTTTTCTTCCTGTGTTCGATCTAGTATATTGGTAAACATCGACTTTCACCTCTTCTACATGTTCTTAGCAAATCAAAGCCTTTTCTATTTCAACCAAACCTAGATTTTTTTCTAAATCACTGTCTTCACACATATTGTGCTTCCAAGTCAGCTCCCCATAGCACCTCCTGAGGTCATGATTTAAGCAATTATCATATATGTGACTTAAATTTTGAGTTAAACTCCCAAGCTCAGCATTACAACTTTAAAAACCAAAAAAGACTTAGCAAATAATAAAGTTCTCATTTACCAGTGGGACTTTTTGAAATACCTCTTCATTTCTCTGTTACTGTCTATATCTCAAGCAATATATATTTCCTCTAAAATAACAGATCATACAAATGTAGCAAAGGATAAATAAATGAATATTCCAGTGCCTCCAAGGTAATGCACAGACTTGAATGAGATAAAATATAACTGGAAAGGAATGAAATGTCACAAATAGAGTATGCCCATTTTAAATAACTACATGAGCAGGCTGAAACTATTCCTTTGTCTGCAATATTTGCCGTTCAAAATTTAACTCTTTTTTTGCAAAAAGACATTAATATCATAATGAAGAAGTCCAATCATGCCAGGAGAAATCACAAGAGCATGACCAATTTTCAGCACTGATATAAATTTTCCTTTGTTGTTTTGCCCAGGCTTTCCAAAATCCTGTTAAAGTCAGGATGGGCTCAAAGCTGATCACTTGTCTAGTTCTTACAAATCATTTTCTTAAAAGAGTGAAAATTATCAGACAGCTGCAGCAGTTCAGCATACAGGGAAACGTAGAATGTCATTTTCAAGGTAAGTACGCAGCTGTCTTCCTGTCACTTAAGGTTTTCTAAGGCAAATCTAATTAAATGTCTACCTAAAACAGCTGACAGAATAATTCCTAGCATACTGAAGAAATTTGTCATAAGGCAGCAAGACCACAATTCTGTTCTTGTATTTTGTTTCTGGTTAGTAAATCTGGTAGCACTTCTCTTTTTTAATATAAAATATATGACTACCTTTTTAAATAAATTGCATATGATCTAAATTAATTTAAATAGTATCTCATTTTATATTGTGCTTCTTATCTCAATTGGGAAATAAGACAGTGATCAGGGTATGAAATATTGCATACTTCCCTAGTGAAAAGGAATTCTTATCTGGTCTTTTGATTTTATTCATTATTTCCCTCAATTCTTAGGTATAATTTTTCAGTTGTCAGTCACATACCTTGGAAAACCTGCTAAAATTCCAGGCTTTTTATAGGAAAGGACATAAATCCAACAGGGTTCCCTTCTTATCACCATGCATCATGATGACTCAGTTCTTGCCAAGTTTCACTCATTAATAAGTTATTAATGTTATCTATTGTGTGGATGTCTCAGTTGGATACCTTCTTTTTATAGTTTCTTTCTTTTTGTTTAATAAAGGTTAGAACTTAGTTTATAAACTACATAATATGCATTAGAGAAGACACTGGGTACTCCCTCTAGTGGTTTTGTTGATGGGTGTTTACAGTCAGTACCATCATGTGCAAAGATTATACACTTAGTAACACATTAATGCTAGGTTATGTGTAAGTTCTCATAAATGTTTCTCTATCAATTTAATCAACAATTTAAATATTTTAAATATGGAGGAAAGTCTATAACATAAAGGAAATCAGTGTAGATGAGCCCAAGTATACTTTCTTTTATCTGTTTTGTATAATAGAAAGGAGGGAAAATTAGCTCTAGGGTAACATTAAAGGGTGAATAGTTAATAATACCTTCACACCTCCTGTTCTGTTTTCTTTTTCGTTAGCACTAGAAAGAAAATCCACATATACCCATGCACCTATGAGAAAAGAAAAAAATTTAAGCTTTTAGATGTTGTTTTTGAGACCGTGCAGTGTTAGTAATAGTAGAAACTATGCTCTCACTGCCAATGAAAGTGAGCCCTAACACAGGGGGGTCATCTATGAGTGGTCAGTAAAAGGTTCAGGAAAACTGTATTCATGAAAACTGTCTTTTCGTTCCCTTGTTCCATGAGTCCGTTGAAGTTCTTTCATATAAAGAATTTTTATTTTTTCAGTTTCACATCCATATTTATGGCATAGCCTAGGAAAAAATGTCATGTAATATGAAAATATTCACAAATCAACTGCCCACTATGAAACCCTGCTTAAAACAAGTTTTTATTCCTGCTACTCATGTCAACTTCATTGTCTATCTTTTAATTCACTTACAATACAATGTACATAGATATAAAGTATTACTTTCAATGTCGCAGAACAATGAGAGAGTTGGTCAAGTCGGAGAGCATGACAGATATCATATCCAATGGTCACGATCTGTCCTGTAAGTATCAATGAGTTCTGATGGATGCATATACCTTTTTCATCAATGTTGCAGTCAGAACAGACAGAATAAAAAACATTTTATCATCTGTAACTGAGATTTCTCACTCAATTTGCAACTGATTTCCACTCTTAATACCAGGATCTAGGCAATCAATCTGGACTTATTTTCAAGTTGCTTTTTTTCCCCCATTTTGAAATAGTTATGGACTTCCAAGATGTGGCCTCTCACACCATCTCATATCAACCTGTTGTTCATGACAATTTCTACCCAAGCTCTACCCTGTGGCTAAAGATATTGTGCATAACAGGCTCTAATGTATGCTTATTCTGGGACTTTCCCTCCACATATGAAAAAGTTCAAGTTGGAGGCATAAAGGTATACAGGAAAGCAGTATTTATTTATTTAAGATTTATATATTTATTTATTTAAAAGGCAGAGTGACAGACAGAGAGGGAGGGTGAGAGGGAGATAAATATCTTCCATCCACTAGCTTACTAACCAAATGGCTGCAACAGTCAGATCTGGCCTACACTGAAGCCAGCAGCCAGAAAATCCATACTAGTCTCCTACACAGGTGGCAAAAGCCCAAGCACTTGGGTATCTTTAACTGCTTTCTCATATGTGTTGGCAGGAAGCTGGATTAGAGTTGGAGTAGCTTGAACTTCACCAGCACTCCAATATAAATGTCATACCAATCTGTGCCATAGCATTGCCCTCAGGATTTATTTAAAGCAAAGGAAAAGTATATATTCATGAAGTAAGCATGGGTAAGCTAGAGAGTTGAGAGAGACAGAGAAGAAATAACAATAAAAATACAAGTTTCAAGCTTCCCTTTTATACTATTGGTAAGCAGACATAGGGGGTTTTGTCTGGGGTGGAATTGAATTGAATATACAAAGGTAGAGATGGGGGATGTTGCAGAGAGAC